GGCTTTAGTCGTCTTTCAGTCTTCATTTTGAAAGCGTACCTTGTATCAAACAGCCCTTACCATGCTATTGATTCCTTCGGGGTACCCTTAGCCAAGCAACCAATTTAAAACTAAAGTAAATTCATGCGTGATAAAAGAACGAAACAAGAGTAACCGTTTGTGGGCTTCTGATAGATTTTTCTGCTTCTTTGACCGCTGGCGCACTTTCTAGTACTCCCACTTCCGATCTGAACCCAACCAGAGACCAGCACTCACTTCCTTCTGTGATGCTCACTGTCTGAAGTCAGGGATCAGTAGTGAATTGTGATCATTCTGCAGTGGCGGACCACGAACCTTTGTCCTCGGGAGCGGTTACTTTAGAGAGGTTGCGTTTACATTCGAGTGCGACTAGATGGGATCTATAAAGAGATCTCTTTCCTGTGAGGTTAACGTGATGTTGCGGCGAGCGAAGTTGCGCCGTAGGAATATTAAATTTAATACTAGTCGATTAATGATCTCTCAAAAATGGACCAGATAAGTTCACTAAGCCATCTCTTCCTTGTGCATTGAGAAAAAAAATAAGATGGGTATTCAACGAGCTCCTACCATCCCGTCGAAGTGTGCAGCAGCAAACGAAGGCGGAGGGTTCAATAATTGTTGGCCTCTATTCTTAAAGGAACAAAGTAATGTGTACCCAATCCTATTCATGCAGAATGGTGTGTAGCTTGCAAGCAAACCTTACAAAATCTAAATGGTAAATTTTGAGACAGATGATAAAGCATCATGCGGTGTTAGGCAAGGGTGTATTTAGTGGAAAAAAAGTGCTTCATATTTTCACCACGATTCAAAGGCGATCGCCTAATTCCTCGATAGTTGCACTCATGCGCTACATTTTAATGAACTATATTTCAGGTGACCTTGATCGTGCTGAATGTTCATCATGTGATAGTATACCGCTATGGGCTTCCCAGGTGGATTCAAGAGTCATCTTATCGGAGAGTGATGAACGGAAGCCACCGAAGATTAATGAGGGGAGCGGCGCCACCGATATTGTCTTGCCTGAATGTGACTACCCTCAAGATTCATTATCTGATCTTTTTACACCTGATAAGGTTGTGTTCCAAGAAGCCTCTTCATATCTCAGTCCACTTAAGGTAAAGTGTTGTAGAAATTGAAGTTCTTTTTTTCACGTCCAGTGGCCATTTGCATAAACCACCCTCACAGGGTGATTGATGCATCCGGCCCCGAAACCAGGTCGAAAATGGACATTTTACAATTTATTTTCTAGACGTTACTTGAACAGCATGATCAATTTCCAAATAATAAGGAAACGGAGGTGCCAATTACGCCTCATGCGTCAGATTTGGATCCATACAACTTCCCCTCGTCAGGGCTCAACCTTAGCGATCTATTCAGCTGTTCTGACTGGGAGCTAACACACTGATTTCTAGGTAATTTAATGTTATCAACAGTTCCTATGTAACGCTAATTGTGAGTTTCCAAAACTTCAGGATCTACCTCTCTGTATAGAGGTGTCTTCGATACTATGGTTATTGTGTCGTTGCTCTACATACCACGGCGCTCAGTGATCTCTACGGGGTGTTTCTCCTTATAACGTTGTATTTATCTCTTCGCTTATACGAAACAAGTCTTATGAGGAACTGTAAGAACTCGTCAATGAAATTCTTCCTGTTGAACGGAAAAGGAGAAGTTTCCATGTGCGCATTATAGGCTGCTTTGTACTTTGTAAACATTTTATCCCTTGTGCGGTTTTTCAAGTCGTGGAAGGAGATGATTTGCAAGTCGTTTGCTGATGCCTTCCGTAGTGAGTATCGTGTAGATAAAAGTAATGTCCAATTTTTGAGAGGTGTTTCATTCACGTTATAAATGTAAATATGTCTGAAATAGAATTACGGATAATAAACGTTCTTATACATATTTTCCATATCAAACCCACGAGGTCGCCATAATGGGACTTTATCACTTAGAATGAAATGCGCTGAGTTCAGTCCAGCTGCGGTATGGCTCTATTTCCACTGGTTGTGAGGGGAAGTGTTCTTCATCAACTGCTCCAATCCCTAGACTCCTACGGGAATCTCAGAGCCTTTTTTAGTTCCATTAGGGTCAACCGTCCGTTGGACAAAGTCCAACGAGGAAGGTCGTATTTGGCTGACGAAAAGGGGGGTCGTATTTGCAAGGTCGGAGGCAGCTTCAATCTTAGGGGGTCGTAGTATGCATGTGTAAGAGCGCTGAGAAAAAAAAGTTTGCCGTTATTTTGGAGGAAATGTGGTGAAGTTGGGCTGTGTCAACTGGTCTCATCAGAATCAAATACTATAGTAACAGCTCTGATGGTAAGGGTGGTGGTCGTTATTGGTGGACCTCCTGAGTCTCATGGTGGTGGAGGGGGGTCGTGAAAAATTTCCAAAAAATACCAACGGTAGGGTTGACCCTGGGGGGGGGTCGTATGGAGACTCTCCAAGAGGGGGAGGGGTCGTGAAATTTTTTTTCGCTAATTTTCGGAAATCTATAAGAACGCACCTGTGATTCGAAGTTTGCTTTCGC